ACAGCTCTGGTCAGGGTCACAAACGACCTGCTGATGGCGGCTGACACTGGTTCCCCATCTCTCCTCATCCTCCTGGATCTGACTGCAGCATTCGACACTGTCGACCATAACATTCTCCTTCAGCGCTTCCAATACACCATCGGACTCTTTGACTCCGCCCGGAGCTGGTTCCAGTCCTACCTGTCTGGAAGAACAGAGTACGTCTCCTTGGGAGGTGCAAGGTCCCAGACACACCCTGTCACCTGTGGTGTCCCTCAAGGGTCGGTCCTCGGGCCATCTCTGTTCACCCTGTACACTCTGCCCCTTGGCCGTGTCATCAGCCAACATGGAATATCATTCCATTGCTACGCTGATGACACGCAGCTATATATAAAGACAGACCCTATCCCACATGCATCCTCACTGTCACCATCATCATCACCATTCCCATCAACATCCTTTAACACCTGCATTGAGGAGATAAAGGCTTGGATGCAACACAACTTCCTGCAGCTAAATAGCTCCAAAACAGAGGCTATTTTAGTTGGCACACCAAACCAGGTCCAGTCATCCCCCATAACCCACATTACCTTTTCTGGCCAAAACATACCCCTCTCCACATCAGTTACCAACCTGGGTGTAAGATTTGACCGACATCTGACCTTTGACACCCACATCAAACACCTGTGCAAAACCTCCTTCTACCTCCTCAGGAACATTGCAAAACTCCGTCCCACACTCTCCCTGTCAGATGCTGAACAACTGGTCCATGCCTTCGTTTCCTACTATTGTAGCGCTCTCCTCATCGGGACTCCTAGCGGGAGCCTTCAGAAGCTCCAATACGTACAGAACAGTGCCGCTAGGATCTAGATGAGGGTGAGAAAGTACAACCACATCACACCCATCCTTCATTCCCTCCACTAGCTTCCTGTCTCATTCAGGATCGAATACAAGGTTGCACTCTTCACCCATCAGTGCATCCACGGGAACGCTCCTCCATACCTGAAGGAACTACTCACATCACAAACCTCCACACGCAACCTCCGCTCCAAAACCAACCATCGGCTTCGAATGTCCCAAACTACAGGAAGTACTTGAGGAGTAGTGGAAACATGACTGCACTGTGCATGTTTGTGAGCAACTACATTGTCACTGCTGCCCCACAGAGACTACCCTCAGGATTTAACGAAGGGGAGGAGGTGAAGAGCATCTGCACAGCAGGAGTAAGCAGTTTGACATCACTGTACAGTGATCAGGAGGAGGCAGACACAAGGATGGTGCTCCATGCCATACATCTTGCAGAGTCATATTCCCGCATCATTGTGAGTTCTGATGACACAGATGTGGAAGTACTGCTCATATATTATGCAAGCAAATACTTGTTTGGTTCATCTCTAGTGTACATGCATGCAGGCCATGGAATGAGAGAGAGATATGTCCCCATCAACACCATATGTGAGAACATTGGAAAATACATGTCTAACTGTTTACCAGCATGTCGTGCACTCACTGGCTGTGGCACAACAAGTAGTTTGTACTGAATAGGAAAGACAATCAGCATCAGCAGGTCGTTTGTGACCCTGACCAGAGCTGTTTCAGTGCTTTGGGCGGAACGGAAACCGGACTGGAATTTCTCAAAGAGGCCGTTTAGTTGGAGATGGTCCTGAAGCTGGGCGGCAACTACATGTCTAACTGTGTACCAGCACGTCATGCACAACAAGTATTTTGTACAGAATAGGAAAGACAACAGCATTCACCAAACTCAAGACCCATCTCAGCGAGCTCAAAGATCTGGCCCATTTTGGACTCTCTGCCAGCTTGGAAGAGTCTTTGCCAGTCGCAAGAGAATTTGCGCTTCTGCTATATGGAAAAAGGAAAATGGACTGATGTGCACAAACTTGGATGAACTGAGGTTCATAATTGCATCAACAACAGATTCAGCCACGGAAAATCTGCCGCCAACAGAGGATGCATTTCAACAACATGTACGAAGAGCAATGTTTTCAGACAGCGATATGGTGTCACAGCCCGAACCCAAACCCTTGTTATGGAGTCCTGTTGGCAAGGGGTGGATTGTCAGAGATGGGGCCATTCAACCACTGCTATTTACAAAACCCCCAGCACCTACAGAAGTGAGAGACATTACTCACTTGTATTGCAAAGATGCAAAGTGTGGAGAGAGTGGAAAGTGCCAGTGCCTCTCTGTTGGCCTTCCCTGTACGGAGTTCTGCACCTGCTGTGCATGTAAGGGAAACTTCTGTAGCAATGGAGAGTCAGGACTCAGAGAGACACGGGACGAGCAGGAGTTCTGATGTCAAACACTGGCAGTTTATTACAAGCATCGGCCGGAGAATTAATATCACAAGTCACAGCATCAGAAAGTTCTGACTGCACAGGTGGGTTGCCATGTCAATTCTGAATCCCTTCTCATCTTGGCAGACCTTTTAATTAGCTTCACTCAGAGTCAACCCCCATATTGGGGAAAGCATCTGTGAACACCTGGGGGGCACTGAATCACTTTATCTGACTCTATGGCTCTTGTGACCGAGAGTTGACCGGTCATAAAACTGATAATGGCAGCAATAGATGATAGTTCCCATTCCTTAAGACAGATAACAGACTTTGGCTTCGTCGTAAACTTCAACAGGTCGAAAGGTCAAATATCTTAAGTAAAGACAAAATTAATCCCTCACAGTGCAGAATGTCAAAATGTGTCCCCTAACGTTTCTGAGGAACCTGACATTTAACATTATATTATAGTATCTATATACTTGACCTCTCACAGAATAATTTGATGAATTGTATACTGTACTTTGAATTAAGGTTCCAGTTTCAATCAAACCTGTACTATTTACCTATGTTTTAGAGACTTGCAATTTAGAACTAATAGACTTTATTTGATTGGGTTACTCTTATTCTGACTATTTGGTGATGTAGTTCAGCCACCTGGTATTTCCCTCTCCAAATATGATGACCATCAGAATGAGCATTCTTAAATTATAGGCTATTATGCCACTTCTCCCCCATTCGGAATTTGACTGTATCAGAGAAGAGGTAGGCCTGTCTAAAGAAATCTCATTTGCAATAGAACTGTACCAGATATGTCCGTACAACTACTGGTTAGTGTTCAATAGCACCCTAGACAATTCAGTAATGGTATATCTTTTAGGGATTACTGTTTTTCTGATAAATTAGAGAAAAGTGATTGAGTCCTATGTTCCTATCACCAAAAAGTACAATTTCCATCTAAACTAAAGCTAATTTTACAGGACTATAATTCAGTATTTTGTTAGTTAAATAATTGTCTGACTATTTGGTGATATAGGACAGCCACCTGGATCATACCTCAGCAAATCTGAAGAGGAAAAGAGTGATCATTCTCAAGTTATGGGCTTTTTTGTCACCTTTCCCATATTCGGCCTGGTCTAATGTGGCTCTTTTTCAGGGATTGGGGTAGTTCTAAAGAACAACCAAAAAAGAATGTTTTTCCCCCAAAATAAAATTTGACAACAATCAATTTCATTAATGGGAGACCCTAAAGATAAGAAAAATCATTGTTGTGTTTTGTTCTACTTCTACCTCGGGTAGGGGTATCTCGAAAACTAAAGCCTTTTTTGAGGACTTGCTGGTAGACTGTTGCGGCTTTCACACCAGCGCTTTTCCATTTCTAGCTCCGAGCTAGAGCTTTTCTGGTTCAGCTCCGGTTTCCCTTTTCTGCTCCCGCTCTGTTCACACCGCCCAGCACCCGACTGGTGCTGCCGCTGCTGCGTCATGGCGTCACCGTTTACATCGCTGATTTGCTCCCCAACGGCATTACGGTGCTCACAACAACAACAACAACAACAACAACAACAACAACAACAACAACAACAACAACAACGGGGAACTGCGTCGGGTCGATGATCGTGTTGCTTTTTAATCACACGAAGCCAGAATACATTGAATAACGACTTCTCCAACCTTATACTTTGCTCCAGAGTGCCGTGGTTCATTGTTTATTAATGTGTTTCTGCAGCATTTACCGACCGCTGCAGTGTTGGCTGCTCTTCCACGGGAGTTTATTCTCCTCCGTTAGCTCCCGGTTAGCTCACACTGCAGCGGCCGCTCTAAAGTATTCACTGTCCGACTCACACAAGCAGCTGATACATATCCCCAGTTCCCCTTAGCCTAAGTGAATGTGTGTCAGTCTGAATTGACGCTGTTTGGTATCACAACGCTGTTATGAAAGTTTCTCTGGTATAAAATGGGTGATGTTAGCATAGCAACCGAAGCTAAACTGACTACTTGCTATTGCTATCCTATTGTGGCATAAACCGTTTTCTACAGGCACATTTTACCGGCCTATTTTTATTATGATTCTACTACTGATAGCTGCTATAATACAAAACAAAACGTCTGCCTCTCTCCACAATGATCAATAACAGTGAACGGATGGTCAAAGTAAGGTACAAATAAACAGAATCACACGAAGCCTGGTTAGTGTTGCCTGACTTTATAAAGTGTGTTTATAAGCACTACTGCTTGTAGGCAGGCATGACGAGACTCTTCAGTCGACCCATGTTCAGGGGAGGTGGGTTTAGTTTCCTGCACACCTCGACGTAAGCGACGCCACCTCTTAGCTCCGAAGCTCTTGCCTCTAGTCTAGACCGACAATTTTTTGGAGCTGGAAGTGAACCGAATTCCGGAGCTAGGAGCCGGCGCCGCTGCGATGTGAACAGGAAAAACCGGCGCTTTTCAGGCTCCAGCTCCGAGCCGGAGCTGAAAAAGCGCTGGTGTGAAAGGGGCATATTAGGCCTCCTTATATTTCCACTTTTCTGTGTTCTTTTTGACTGACTTTGACTTCAACCAATCAGGGACGTGTTCACTCGTCCCCAATCAGGAACACGTCCCTGATTGGCTGAAGTCAAAGTCAGTCAAAAAGAACACAGAAAAGTGGAAATATTAGGCCTCCTTATATTTCCACTTTTCTGTGTTCTTTTTGACTGACTTTGACTTCAACCAATCAGGGACGTGTTCACTCGTTCTGTGACAGCCAATAAAAAAAACTCCAAAAAGCAAAATGGGCGTGGCTTGGAACAGCTGGTGGGGGTTAGTGCAAGGCGCTTTGAGTGTAGCGGTTCGTTGGGTGGTTGATGGGGGAAACAACAACAAGCTACGCATCATGAGGGTCCCTGAAACACTGCTTTGGGCCTCTTTTCTCATACATAAGGTGAGAGAGACAGAGGGTATTTCTTCATAAACTGTTTCTCTGCACGTTTACATTGCATTGTCAGACATGGCTGGCAAAAACAGCCGTGTTTTCGGGATGTATTAGCTGCGATGCTATGCCTGTTAGCTTGCGGAGATCACCGAGGGCCCTGGAAACAGGCACATCTTTCACACTTTGAGGCAAAATTAACCAAGCAGGATTATGTATGATTCACTGCTTCATGTTTAACCACTAGAGTTTTTAATGGCCGACTGCGATTCAGTATCGATTAGCCCGACATTAGGAAAATGTTAGCCATTAACTCACATCTTGCTACTGTGTCACATCTCTGGTAACGCGTCGGAGCATCTGGGCTGGATGATAAAACAAATTCTCAGCCGATTATAATGCCCTTATAAATGTCATCAAACCAACTGTACTCTAAAGTATTACCAAGTGTTTTATTCTTCTCTTGTCTGTAAGACATTTGACATCATCTTTGTTATAATAAAACAAGTACTATGTTTTATTTACTTAAATAGTAGCCTAAAACCACAAAGACAAATATAAATCTTATGATCCAAACTCTGCATCTTATGATCCAAAACGTGCAATATGTAAAAAATACTCATGAGGAATAGCCCATTTCAACTAGTATAACTAGTGATGCATTCATACTGTATGTTTTTGAAGGAGGGGCTAATCTCAAACACTGCCAAATGGTTTTTTCTACAATACATCAAATGTTGGCAAATAAAGGGTGGAGTAAACATTACAACATGTGATTTCCAAAGGTATTGGAGTAGTAGTATAACGTGGCATTAATACTCCAAAGTGTACTTGAGTAAATGTTCTTAGTTACCATGGTACAAATCCTAATGACCTTCGTCAATTACAACATCTTACAATTTGACATAATGCACTTTGCCAATTTCCCACTGAGTTTAACACATGCTAATTAGACAGAGCACATATCTGTTCAACTCACGAATGGCCCTTTTTTATTCACTCTGTTTTATCTCAACATTTTCAGCAAAAGGCATACTTATATGTGCTGTAGGAAATACTCTGCATTGTTCATGGGGATCGAAGTTAATATCTTTATAGGTGAAATTCAGCCGTCTGACAGCTAAGCGCCAATTAGAAAACAGTATTTGGCAATCAGCCAATCAAATTGCAGCAGGGCAACAGGCAATCAGCCACACCTGGCATCAACTTCAGCTTCGAGCATGCGCATTGTTGTTTAATTATATAGTTAATTAGAAGTGAGTGGGCTACCTATCTTACTCAAATTACCCTTCAACTCCAAATGTATATATTATGGCTAGTATTATAAAAAAAAACTGCAATACATAAAAAACAAACTCAAAGCCAAAGTGTCAACTTTAACATTCTTCATTGTTTAGAAAATACAAATAAACATGATACATTTTCAGCAATGGTTTTGAATGTACCGTAATTTTCGGACTATAAGGCGCACCTGAATATAAGCCGCAGCAGCTAAATTGAATGATGTGTACATATATAAGCCGCACTGGACTATAAGCCGCAGGTGTTTTAATGTTTAATTACCATATGCAAGGGTTCGTGCACAGAGGGGATTGTCGGGAAAGAGATGGCTGTTTGAGAAAGCTCCCATTTATTAACATTTCAACAAACAAGTTGCATATTTGCATAACGTATTCAAGTGTTACCATTTAGTGCCATAGTAGCTACAGAACATGTGCTGTGTAAACTACTGTATCACATAGCGTTTCAGACACACAAACTTTTCAACTTTCAAATTTAAACGGTGCGCTCCCAGCGCACGTACCGGCAGTGATCGTTTGTGCATGAAAACTTCCTTTGCACAAACTGTTTCGCTCTCGTAATGTCTGTCTGTCTTGCTCTCGTTCTGTCTCTCGTACCACTCTCGGTTCCACTTTTACTTTTGCGCGCTACCTGTCTCACTCTTTTCCGGCCTCCAGCTTTTCCTGCTGGAGCCCGCCGCTTAAAGGTGGGGGGCGCGGACCGGCCATAGAGCCCATAGAGTTAAAGGTGATGGACTGTAACCTGTAAAATCCATAGATTTAGGAGGTCCCCTAGTGGCCGTTAGCTGTAAAAATCCATAGATTAGCCGCACCGTTATATAAGCCGCAGGGTCGAAAAATGGGGAAAAAGGCGCGGTTTATAGTCCGAAAATTACGGTAACCTTGTTACAGAACAGCAACGACAGTTCACATGTGTGTGGAAATAATGTTCAAGTCTATGTTCTATACAAAAAAATCAATTTATAAATGTTTGATGGACGTGGAGTGATGTTGTTGTCATGTTGACAGGTGGTGGGAGAGTACGGCATGGCACATTTCAGTGACATGGGCAAGAACAAAGGGAAGGATTACTGCATATTCTTCAACTCTCAGTGGGCCCGTCTACCTCAGGACCTCAACAAGGCAGTAAGTCACGAGCGAGCAACAAGACGTGTCTGCAGTGCCTATTCATAAAGACACTTTGTGACCTTTTATTTATGGTAAGAGTTGACTCCTAACAGAATGCGCTTAACGTTGCACCCTTTGTGTGTGTGTCTTAAAGTCTCGTCTTCCGATCTATGACCTGACTTCATCGGTCCTGTGCTCGCCCTCTGACGTCCCAGAGGGAGGATTCCCAAATCGCATCCCCATGGTGATGAGAGGAAACTGCACTTTCTATGAAAAGGTCAGACTGGCCCAGATTAACGGAGCCAAGGGCCTGCTCATCGTCAGCAAGGACAGACTGGTAAACATGCTTATTACTCTAAAAAGTCCACCTGTCTCTGATATGCCACCCCTGTGCCTTATTTTGGAACATTAATAAAAACAAGAGATCATTTTGAAAGTTGAGAACATTTCATTTTTGCATAGTAACATTTACTTTTGAGTGAAACAGCTGTAACACCAACACTGACATTTGATTGACTGCTACCAAACCCTATTTCCCTTTTCTTTTCACAACGAGGAAACAAGTATTAAAAGAGGTGTAAATCACTACAAGTCTAGCCATGCCGAGAGCTGTAGCTATGCAACGGCGAGCTAGTTAATTGTCCCGATATGAAACAGGCATTGTAGCTGCAGTGAGAGAATAGGTAAAGATATTACTTCATTTATGCAACTTTCAAATGTGTTTTGTTATTTCCGTCTTCTACTGCAACAATTTTAAAACAATCTTTTACATTTTGGAGTTGCAACAATATCTTTCAAATGTACAAACATATGTGCAACTCATAGCACAATTTTAAAAAAATCAACAAATTAGATTGACAACTGTTCGATTTTTATCCCCCTAAAATAATGTCCTATGGTGTTCCACTGAAAAGGAAGGAACTTTGCCTCTAAATCTTAAAGATGTAGCTTATTACATTGTGCATCAAGAGAACATTGCATTTGGCACTTCGGCAACCAGGAAATGTGTTTTTGTTTTTAATTACAGACACCCCCAGCAGGAAACAGGACTCAGTATGAAGAGATTGACATTCCTGTAGCGCTGCTCAGCTACACTGATATGCTGGAGATTATCAAGGTGAGGGGCCATTCAACAGGAGACTAACAAACCTGAGTGTTCAACTGTGTCCGTGTTTTTCTCTTCCCCAGCAAAGTCAACTCACCATAAACATTTTAGAGTCCGACTCTGGAGAGACAGGAAAGTGGATCTCTGCCAAATGCTAAATAATGCATGTTTGATGAGAATCTATTAAGGAGGATTTTGTTGTGTAGAGTTTAAAAAAAGCCTCGACTAAATGTTGTTTCTCACTGCTGCAGAAATTTGGTGAAGAAAGACAGGTCGCCATGTACGCTCCCAGTGAGCCGGTGCTGGACTACAACATGGTGATCATCTTTCTGATGGCAGTGGGAACCGTTGCTATTGGAGGATACTGGGCCGGCAGCAGAGACACCAAGAAGTGAGTGAAACGATGGAGGAAACTGACTGATTTAATGTGGAATATTACTCATTTTGAATGCTTAAGTGGGTTACAATGTATACAGAAATAACCCAGTGGTTTTATATTTTAAGAATAGAGGGTACCCCCTTTCTTGGTTGGAACTTTTTAAATCCAAACAGGAAACTAGACAAAAAAGGTAGAAGATGATGCTGGTTGTTCTTTCCGTTACATCACAGGATGCAGAGTTTCCTTCTTCCTGTACACATACTAGGGCTGCTCAATGATTCGTATTTTAATCGCAATTACGATTTTGGCTTGCAACGATTATGAAAACAACATAATCGAAATAATAATTATTATTATTATTTATTTTTGTATTGGTTTTTCAGTTGAATTATACTTAAAGTTCAGGGTAATCAACTGTTTTGTTCAATAAATGGATGTTTTCAAAGTAAATGGATAATCGTTTTTAATAATCGTGATATCAATTATTGACCCAAATAATCGAGATTATGATTTTTGCCATAATCGAGCAGCCCTAACACATACAGCTCTTTTAATACAGACTGCTAAATATAAATCAAAGTGAAGTTACCAGGGGGGTCGTCTCCAGGGAAAATGAGTCCCAGTTCTCTTGGCAGAGAACTACGAGCATACGATTGCTCAGTCTTCTCTCTTAAGAGTAAAGTGTGTGTTCAGTCTGCTCCTCCCCCAAAGCGCAGCGTTGTTTATTTGAGGCTGTACGGGTGACTAATGGCTCGAGCCAATGCGAGTCAGTTCTTCCTGACCGATTTGGCACGGTGACTCAGTCTGACGCACAGCACCACGGGCAAGAAAACAGTTTGGAGTATAAGTGTGTGTGTTGAACTAAGGAAGGAAGAAGCCCAGGCAGCCACGTGATGGTAAATATTATCTGTGCATGATGAGGTGATCATCCTGGCTGCTTTGGAAAGTCCCAACCATCAGTAAATACTGTTTAAACCTAAGAGCAAGCTATCTGTGCTGCGCTAGTCAAGTTATACTCAACTTCACCAGCCCCCAAAAAAGGAGCCATTGTTTCCGCGCCACACTATTTAATCAGTGCCCGTGGGATTTTATGTAAATAAGGCGCATGAAAAAAGTTAAAATAGTGTGATAGTCTTTCAGGCTATGCAAAGTCAGTGAACTATCCGACTTATCTGTTTATTGTCAATTGTTTTCCAAGTTATAGTATTAGTTAGACTTGAGTATCCCTGCCATACCCTATTTTGTTTAATAAGCTGGAACCTCTCGAGTTATGAGCGTCCGAAACAAGAACCTCAGGCCAGCACGCCTCTCTGAAATTGGGTTCTTTCCTGCAGACGATACATGAAGCACAAGAGGGACGACGGAGCGGAGAAGCAGGACGAGGAGACGGTCGACGTCACCCCCATCATGATCTGTGTGTTCGTGGTCATGTGTTGCAGCATGCTGGTGCTACTCTACTTTTTCTACGACAGCCTGGGTACGACAAATACACTCAAACATCAATGATGATATAACTCAACATGCTGGTCCATACTAGGGCTGAACGATATATCGTGTCATGGCGATATGCGCATGCGCGATATTCACATCGCAGGGACGTGCGATATTAAGTAGGTAAATTAACTCAAACACGTCATGTTACAATTATTTTGCTGCTTGCTACAAAAGGAAAACTTGCGCGGCTCTCATGTCAGGGGTACTTGAGTGAGTGACATGCAGGCTCTGCATGCACAGCAAACCACCAATCACAATCATTCTTGATCAGATCACAGCAGGCCCCGTCCCGCTAGTTTGCAGACCATCAAAACACCGGTGAAAAATGAGCGAGGCACAGGAGGACAATACCGGCGAGAATGAAGATTTAAGCAACATCTGCCATCTGGAACTATTTTGGATACAAAAAGGTTCTTCCAGACGTCCGTGACTAAAATCCTTCATCCGGTTAAATATAGTTTAAAAAAACGTTATATATATATATCGCAGGGGAAAAAAATATATATCGCAATGTCAGTTTGTTTCAATATCGTGCAGCCCTAGTCCATACCCCTATTTTGTTAAACAATTTTTTTTTCGGTCAGATCCACTTCCATGAGACTCAATGATTTATTGCTGTGTTTCCTGCTTCACCCATTGAGGTCAGGCATGACTCAATAATGCATGAAACAGGATGTGAAGAATGTGGTCGACAATGTTTTACAAATAACCGTAACTCCAGTTCCACTTAATAGCCTTTTCTCATTTTAAACCACATCTCGTGTTGTTAATTATGACATCAGTGTAACATCTTATAGCTGATTTCATACGCACACAAATGGCTTGGCTATTATTGTTCTTTTATTGTAATTCCAAGTTGGATAAATTGATCGCTTTGAAAACGATAGAAAACCTCTCCCTATGAGTTGTTTAAATCATGATGTTGGGTTTGAGCAAAAATGGGTTAATAATTCCTCCATTTAGTTCAAACCATAGATTCCTCCTCATTGAAAGACTGGCTGTGCAGTAAAAGAGTAAATGATCCAGTTTACATTTCACTCATAAAAAAAGCTTTCCATTTGAACTCCAGTACATTATATACTGGACACACAGCGGTGAAACTGATACACCTATTGGACTAGATTAAACAACCCATAGAAATGTACATATCAGATATCACGTGTAACAATCTCCTCCTGCCTCCCCTGTTTCCTCACCCCCCAGCTATTTGGGTCATAGCCATCTTCTGCCTGGCCTCCTCTGTGGGCCTGCACAGCTGCCTGTGGCCTTTTGTCCGGAGAATCCCTTTCTGCAAGTGCAGGTGAGACTGTTCACATGAGTATGATTTCAGAATCATAGCTGACCAAAGAAGTCATGTATTATTGTATAATTTACATACAGACATTTAGTAAGCTTTGTCTACACAGATGACATTATCTTAAAAACCCTTTACACTGTTGATGTACATCTTAGATATAGATTTGTGTATATATATATGTTTATTGATGTGTGGACTGCTTACCGCTGCAGGGTCCCAGAGAACAACCTGCCATACCTGCACAAGCGGCCGCAGATCCGCATGCTGCTGCTCACGGCCTTCTGCATCGCTGTCAGCATCACCTGGATGGTGTTTCGCAATGAAGACCAGTAAGTGCAAAGATACGTGTATACAAATGTATTCTTAAACATTTTATTCGCTGTTGGTCTCAGTGTAAAAGTCGCATGACTCTGAAGTGTGTGTACATGTTGGAGGTGCATTACATGAGGGTCTGCTGGCTGACTCAGTCTCATGTCCTCCAGGTGGGCGTGGGTGTTACAGGACGCCCTAGGGATCGCCTTCTGTCTCTACATGCTCAAAACAGTCAGACTCCCCACATTTAAGGTGAGTCAGCTCTCTCATACACATCAAATATTGTTTTTAACATTTTCATTGGGTTTGTTTGTTGCGTATGTTAGTTGTAATCTCACCTGACTTTACTTTCTGTCTCTGCAGGCTTGCACCTTATTACTGTCGGTTCTTTTTATCTACGATGTTTTCTTCGTATTTATTACACCCTTCTTTACAAAGGTATGACAAGACGGTTTTAATTCAAGGCTATTGAAATGTCTACAGTCTGTGTTACTGTGCGTCACACTCACGTTACCCACGGCCTGTCCTCCACAGAGCGGGGAGAGTATTATGGTGGAGGTAGCGACTGGTCCCTCCGACTCCTCACATCATGAAAAGGTGCGCTCGTTTTGAATTAACACGACTCCTTTGCTTCTCTCAGCTCAGAGGAAAAGTAAATGCTAATAAACAAATGTTTGTTTCCTCCAGCTCCCCATGGTGCTCAAAGTGCCACGGTTGAACTTCTCTCCTCTGGCTCTGTGTGACCGGCCCTTCTCCCTCCTGGGCTTTGGGGATATCTTAGTACCAGGTCATTAAAAAGGAACTCAAACTGATTTAAAGGTGGTTGAATATTGTAGTTTATATTGATCTGTTAATCTCTGTTTTCTTCTCAGGTCTGCTGGTGGTTTACTGTCACAGATTTGACATTTTAACACAATCCTCCCGTATCTACTTTGTGGCCTGTACTATCGGTACGTACATAAATAAGTATTATAAGGGTTGTGAAGATGGTATGGTTGTTAGGTTACATTTTGATTCTGCAGGACCAGCCGAGAGAGACTATCTGTAGCTGACATTACAAGAGCCCATTTAATGTACTGTCCCTCCCCAAGTTGAACAATAGGTTGCTGGAAACATGTTTCCATATATCAGATTAGCAAAGACACTTTTGAATGTCCCCTATGTTCTTACTTAATTCACATTTCACTTTGAGCTGATAAAATGTCTGACCAGTGCCACTAATGTCAATCACTCCGAAGACCTAATTCAGATCAGAATGGGGCTTTGGAGTGAAATCTGCTTTAACTCAAGTGTTGTCTGGATTTAAATAAATGTTGACCTGGTGTCTGCCTTCTCTCCGGTTGTAGCGTACGGCGTGGGCCTGCTGATCACCTTCGTGGCGCTGGCCGTGATGCAGATGGGTCAGCCGGCCTTGCTCTACCTGGTGCCTTGCACTCTGCTCACCAGCCTCAGTGTGGCGCTGTGGCGCAAGGAGTTGCCCCAGTTCTGGACTGGAAGTGGATTTGTGGTGAATACCAGTTTGATATGACCGCCTACTGCCGAAGAACAAAAAAACATCAACACAAAAAAAAATCTTAAGTTAAAAACATGCAGAGTAAAGTAGAATCTTAAGTTGAGTAACCCCTTTTAATAATACCATCCGTGCTTCTGTTTACTGTCCCCTCCCTCCCATCGCTGCTCCTTGCCCTTTATTTTACTGTGGGTGTGCTGTAGTCTGCTGCTGAGGGCTCAGCTGTCTGTGAATGTCACTGCAGGTACTCCATCTGGGCTTGCTTCTCTACCATTAAAACATCTTCATGTTGCTTAAGGTTCCTTTTTTGTGGTTTTTCCCTTTAGAGTAGATGTGTTTTTATTTTCTGCGTGCACACATCAGGGATTAGCTTTTAGATTAAGCAAATATTGGTGGTGCTCGGTGATTTAGAAAAGCTTGTTATTTCTAAAACAATACGCATGTTTTTGTATGTGGGATTTTCTTTGATATGCTTCCACTTTTCTTTGTGCATATCTGGGACTTGTTATCTCTGCGTACAGGAATACCTCTGATGACATTAAGGCTCCTTTAACTGGGTGTAATCGGGTTGTGATGAAAAGCCTTAAATCTACCCGTGTACACTGGGATGACTGCATATTCTTTTGTTTGTTTGTCTTATCTACGGCCTTTTCTGTCTTCTGTTACCATTACATTTAGTTTTCTGCTCCACACCATTCAGCCATCTTATATAGACACTGTTTTTGTCCCCTGCAGCCTGCCATAGCGCTCGCACCGATCAACTGTACACAATCTGCAGCACCGCCGACTGAGGATCATTTGAATAAACCGGAGCCACAAACCACAGAAGATGATGAAGACTCACCCCAATTACCGCCTCAGGAAACGGTCGGGAAACAAATCTAACTGAAAGGACTTCGAGTACGGCATTTTACATTTCACTTCATATTTAAAATGTGTGTTTTTATTTTATTTTTATTTTTTATAAATTGTGTCTCAGTTAATGGACATTTCAAGTTCAGACATTTATTTGCACTCGGTGCGAACAGCGATGGGATCTGTGCTTTCTGAAGTCTCAGAAAAAAGACCAAAAAAACCCTACCTCCTTTTTAAAAAAGGGAATAAAAGCCAAATCTGGAAGCTACACAAGCTGTTACACTAAAGACTTTCATGAGTCTTTGAGCTGAGGCTTTAGGCCGAACATCTTCAGGCTCCAGCTTCTTAATGTTGAGGATTTTAAGGCTTTACATACAAGTCAACTGGGTATCTTTGAACTGCTATTTGAAGGAAACAAAAAGTCATTGCAGGCTTGAAATCATACTAAGCATTTTATATTTTCTGACATTTAAAAAAGGCAATTCAATAATCAATTGGATAAATGGCACAATAATCAATATAAATAATCTTTAGTTGCTATCCTTAGGTATACAGATCAGCTGTGACAGATTAGCACTAACATGTTTATCGCTGACTTGTGTAAAACTCTCCGATGTGGTACGACCTTTAAAAGATCACGGTAGGCTCGAATGCATTTTTTTCAAAAAAGCACACAAACACAAGTTAGTGTCCCTTATCCTTTCATTACAAACTAAGGTTTTAAAATGGGGAGCTAAGGTTGTTAACTGAGCCAAAGCTATTAGATTGTTTTTGCTATACTTTTTGTTTTGCATGCTATGGTTTTGTTTTTACCCTTCATAAAAAAACACTGTATAATCTTAAGTGTAGACTGTATTGGTGCTGCAACAGTTAAAATGTCAACCATTGCTTTTCTGTTCCCCCTAGTAGTCATCCATGTTGTCTTAAAAGAGTTGGTTTGGCCTTATTGAGTCTGTCGGGAGGTAAAGAGGAATGTGTAAAAGTTGCTTTATGATGATGTGCTGCAGTTTGACGTACGAGTTGTAAAAAGCATTTGCACAATTTTTTTTTTTTTTAATTCATGGGATGAGTGAAGCTGTTGCCTCATGTCTGTATATGTATTCTCATAAAGGGTGAACCCAAGGTGTCAATATATCCAATACTCATCATAATTTAGTGTTGGAAGTCAGAGGTGACATCACTCTGTACACGAGTATAAATGTATTTCTTATCCATTTACGAGGCCTATTAAAACAAGTTCAACATTCCTGTAAAGACGTTGAGGGAAGAAGTACAAATCATTTGGTCAGATGTGATATTAGTTGTCTGGATGTGTTTTCCAGGACATCAGATTATTTATTCACCAACAGTTTGTTGTCACCAAGTGGTTTTTAAAGCCTCTGTTGAGGAATACATATAATAAAGATACATTGTATTTGGAATTTGGTGAGTTTTGTTTTTAATTGCACAATATTAGTGGGTTTTTTGAGAGGTATGTGATCTTTATTTTGTTATCACAGGGTATGTATTTTACTCACAGTACACATGAATATACCACGCATACACTGATACTGGGAGTTGGTTTTATGTTTTTGCTATACCATAATCTTTTTGTTTTTCACATGCTTTCTAATGTAGTAAAATTAAATAACAAGAACATGTTGAAAATGTATCGAATGTTATTTAACCAAACTATTCAGCTCGGGAGTAATTTTACTAACTACGGTCCGGATGTTTTAATGAGTGTGGAAGTGAAACGGTACTCAAGGTAACATTCCCCAACCATGTATTTTGTGTGTATATGATACTTCATCCTACCTAAAGCCATACTGTTAAATATATTATATTATATAAAAACTAAAAATGTATGAATAAAATGAAACTAAACTTATTGAAAAACAATTGTAATATTGGTTGTGATTTGCTTCTATCAGCCAGCCTAGATGAATGTGGATGGATTTGTGTTACATTGAAATACGTCCACTGGATAACAGGAAATGAATGTGGAAAGTTAAATGAAAAGCACCTCAGCATCACTTATGGTTTTGAGTTACTTCCAGTTTAGTTTCTTTGAAAACATATAGGTTTTCTTCAACATGAAGCCAATAAACCAAAAACTGAAGTCAACAATCTTTTATTCCAAGAACCATTGGTTGGTATTGGAAATTCAAATTAAAGAAAAAAAAGACAAAGGTCTATCATCAACATATTGAATTATGCCAGAATCTTATTTAACAGGGAATGCCACATATATAATTATCTTACATTCTTATAAATGCTTCCCGCAGCCGTTTAAACGAAAACCAACCTGAGTCGCTGTCTCCAGTCAGGAAGTGCACTAAACAGCTGATATTACAAACAATAGTAGGTTCATTCACATAACTTTTAGTTTCATGATTACAGGAAATACCAAAGAGCGAAACTACAGGTCAAATTCCTCAGTTATCGGATTCACTCTGCAATAAAGTTTGTGCTTGGCACCTTACATCTAAAATGTATCATTAAGTAAAATAAAAGTAAAGCTTAGTAGTTAAGACATGAGTGCTAATGGTAAAAGGCAACCTACTTTCATTTAAAATAAAACAAACAACTTTGGCATTTAAAGGTTTTGTTTCAAAATGGTATTATATATATTCTCAATGTGCAAATGGGTTGATCTCTGTACATATTTTATATTTTTACAAAGTCCATCAGTATTTATTTACTTTTTTGACCAATCTGTAAGCAAACAGCTGGTTTCCAGGGATAAAATACCGTGATGGTCCTCTTCATGATGGAGACGTCTTTCGGTCATGTCCAATGTCTTTTATAACATCCATCAGTCTTTCCATGTGTGAAAGTCCTTGTAACAGCTCCATCAGTGTTTCATTTGAGTTGTTATGGTGGACAAGGCCCGGTCCAGACTCCAGAGTGTAGTTGAGGATTAAAGGAATATTACCTTCTCTTTGCCTGCTACCAGAATATCTTTGGGAAACGGAGGCGGGGGCGGTGGGGGACCATCGTTGCTCCTCTTTTGCGTGCTGAAGGACTGAGACGTTTTCTTAGTGCGAACAGATTCTGGTGGGTCAAAGGCACCTGGAGGAGCAACACACGGATGAATAATTGTCTTCAGTAGGTACATGTAAAGTCACAGCAACACCTAACCATATAAACCATTCCTGCCATCTCTGCACTGCATGCCTAATCTCCTCATCCCTGTCGTAGGAGTAATGGTACACAAGCATATATACCAAGTGTCCTTTTTTGTGTGTGTGTGTTGGGCCAGGACAGTAATGTATAGCCATATATCAAGATAGTGTTTCAGCTCGTATCCTGTTCTGTTTGAGATGTTCTATCATCACGTTTTAACCTTGCGCTGTCCTGTTTTTGGTCATCAAGCACCTCATGAAAGTGGCTTGAACTCACAAACTTAATCACCAGGTTGCAGATTCTCCACAAGGGGGAGCTGCTAGATTACACATGCCAACCTGCACCATACAGGAAAGAAAGGAATGCATCTGTAGAAGTAGTAATGTTGATGTCTCCACCTACAGGCATGGCAAGTAGTAACTACTGCACTTGTAATCCTTCTGCAGCTGCTGCTTTTCTGAGAATTCACTTTCACACTCTCGGTAAAACACTATAATGAATCAAAACTCAACATATACAGTCACAGTGTCCCCTCTAAACATTTATGAATAAGGCTTTGATTAAGCTCTAAGAATTCAACACCCAAGTTCAAAGTTCAATATTCAACACTAAACATAGACCTTAGTAAAATGACATTGCTTATTTTAAATGTTACTTTTGGAGCTGGAATTTAAGTCGACAGGAGGTATGATTCTTGATGACTCGTCTGTACCTGACTGGTAGATTCTTATTTGGGGACTGCCGGTGCGTTTGGCTCTCAGACTGCTTGTTTCATTCCCCATCACTCGGATGGGCATCATCTGGCTCACGTCTATAGAGGCTGCGGGAGGAGAGACAGGAGTGGGTCAGTGCTGGAACCATGCATGTTGACACATTAACCAAAACTTTAAGGACATTTGAATCGGAGGGCTAAAAGTTCAGCTGGTATTATGGTGTGTATTTTTGTCAGCTGCAACTAAATGTTTCTTTACAATAATAACTACATTATGTTTTGGTCAATGGCTGTAAATGTTGTTCAGTCTGTAGACAGAGGTGCAAGTAAAAGTAGCCATAATAAATTCTTCAAACACTGATAAGTCCGGCATATAACATTTTACTTGGTTATAAGTAAAAAAGCATTGTAACAAATATATACCTAAGTACCAAAGGCAATGTGCATTTTACAGGTGGTGATGGTGCAGCTTACCTTAATCACATTTTGACTGCTGCTGATATTAACCTATTACTTTGTTTTAATGTTTATTGACTTATCGTTTGTAATTGCTAATAATACAAATCTGTAAAGTAACTTGTAACTAAAGCAGTCAAATTGACGTAGTGGAGTTAAAAGTACAATTCCTTGCGGGTTGCCCCTAGTTGTGTTGCTTTTTTCTTTGCTTGTAATGTTACTTTGTTTACATCTGAGGAAAAGGACAATAAACCCAGGCCTGTCTCCTGACCTGCACTGTGCGTTCTCTGGTGGGACCTCTTGGTCTTGAAGCTCTTCTCTTTCCCCTTGGACGCAGCGGCCAGCTTGGTGGGGATCTGCTGCAGTAGGGATGCAGGTTTGTGCACCTGGTTGGTGGTGCTGATCAGGTGGAGCGGCAGCTCGGGCTTGGCCGGCTGGGGGCTGATGCTCTCTCTGCGCTGGGGCACCTTCGGAGGGACTTCCAAGGTATTCGAGTTGGTGGGTAAGACGTGCGGGTTTGAATTTAATGTCCCACCTCCGTTCACTACACTTCCCCTGAACGACTGCAGACTCCGCAACTAGAAAGAGAGGAAATGCAAAACTCAAACTGTTAACTTCAGGGAGCAAATTAAACTGATCGCTCATTTGACTTCTACCTGTGAAGATTGAGTTCAGTGCTTTTGTATTTTACTCCAACAAAATGTTGATACTTCAAATATTTAATATCACATTTAATTTCAGCTTTCTTAGGCCATTGATCATCAAAAGTTTCACTGTAATTCAAGGCTCAAACAAGTTCTGATTATCTCATAATCCATATTATATAGATTTAGCTGACTAAATGTTACTCAACTAAATGATACTTCGTGGTGGACAGATAAGCACACAATAAGTTCATAAACAGGTATTAATCAAATCCAGTTCTTTACTTGTGAAGGATCATCATAGTTGGAGTTTCCTGGCATCATGTTCTTGTATTTCTCCAGCATGTGCTCCAGACGCCTCCTCTCTTGATTCAGACGCTCCTTGTCCTTGTCCACGGACCTCGTGGACTCTCTGAGCCTCTCCAGGTCCTGCTGGTAGTTTTCCTTCAGCTCTTCCAGCGCAACCCTGTCCTCGTTCAGCTTCCCCTCCCACATCAGGCAGTCCTCCTCCCTCTTTCGCAGCTGAGCCTCCAGACTCTCGGTCTGAACCCTCTGCCGCTCCATGTCCTTCTCCCAGCGCTGCTGCACCTCTCGATGCTGGACCTGCTGCTTCTGCAGGTTGGCCAGTTCCTCCTTCTGCTTCTCCTGGTTGCGCTGCTTCTCCTGCTCCAGCAGCACGCTGCTGTAGTGACGGGCCGGCTGCTTGCTCTTTGTGTGGAAAGCGTGCAGCAGCTCAATCTGGCTGTCCTGCTGGGTGATGATTGCCTGCACGTTGACACATTGAATTTAAACATCACATTGTATCTAACATCGGAAAACATACCATTCATTATTGTGATAGAACACTAACGTTATTCTTATGTTAGGACACGTTTAGAGTCACATACAGCGAAACATTAAAAGACAATTTTGCAAAAATAAATAATAAAATTAGTGTGCCTGCTGAATACAATATACATATTTAAGAACAATTTACAACAAGTCTTACTTCTAAACTGTAGAGCCTTTGTGCAAGCAGTATCACCCTGTCACACACCTACAGAAAAACAACAATACACACCATAATACCATTAGTGACAGATATAAATATTTATGTACGGATGAATAGGAATGAGGAAAATAACAAAGCAAATAAGTATTGGAAGGGTTACCTCTGCTTCAGGGAAATGTGCGGAGGTTAATTTGCAGTTAGGATTTTGTGTGTCATCTTTGGCCTTGAAGCAAAATAGCACAAGTAATGTAAATACTTTAAACATATACCAGATGAAATAACATGTAGATTATTTTAATATGTCACACTCACAAACTGGTCCAGGCTCTCAGAGCTGAAACTCTCCTGGAGTTCAGGCTCACTCGATGCTTCGCTGCCATCTGGCCTCTCAGCTTCATCTCCATCTGAGAAAATCAAACCACACACATCCAACGTCTACAGTTACCTAATCCCTGTGAACGTGTGGGATCACAGTAGGATTGAGCCTAGAGTAAGAAAAAACTATGCAAT